GGCATTCCCCCGGAGGAGCTGGAGGAAGTGTCTGGAGAGAGGGAAGTCTGGGCATCTTTGCTTAGACTGCTGCCCCCGCGACCCGGTCCCGGATAAGCGGAAGAAAAAGGATGGATGGATGGAAGGCTGCACAGTTCTGGAGCAAGATTCTCTGGACAGCCACACGCTGTATAACTGACAGGACAGTGCTTCACAGTACAGTTGGATAATGACGCAAAACATACAGCAGCAGCAACGCAAGAACTTCTCAAGGTGAGGAAATGGAATATTCTTCCTGACGCCAACCCACCAGAACGTGCTTTTCCCTTACTGAACACAGAACTGATGCAAAAAGAGCTACAAACAAGCAGCAACTGAAAGCAGCTGTCGTAAAGACCCGGCAAAGCATCTCAAAGCAGGAAACTCAGTATCTGGTGACGTCTGTGGGTTCCAGGCTTCAGGCACTGACTGCAGTGGCTCTGCAGCCAATTATTAAAAATAATAATTATATTTTTATGTTAGTTGGTCCAGTTACTTTTGAGCCTCTGAGACTGGGGGACTGTACATACAATTGTCTATAATTCCTAAACAGAGATATTTTTGTGAAATCTCGAGCTAAAGCTGAAAGTCCGCACTTCTAAACCATATTGACTGCTTCATTTCAAATCCATTGCGGTGGTGTACTCAGGCAAAAGTACAAAAATTGTGCCCTTGTCCAAATAAATATGCACCTGACTGTATGAGTCAACTGAATGAGATAATGACAGATCTGCAAACCTACTTTAAAACATATTGCAATTATGTTCCAGAGCAACACAGAATTTTCTGTATTATTTTCCAGGTGTTTTCTAGACCTGGACAGAAAGCGCACAAAGCTCCAGGCTTCCTTGATGAATGTGTAACACAAAACAACACACGACTCTTCTGGACATGTTTCTGTCAGCTGGCGATTATTATCCAGACTCTCTGGGTCCTCCTCACCTGTCTGCTGGATGGCGTGGCGTCTCGGACTTTGTGAGCCACCTTAGCGAGGATGGAGACAAGCCAACACTGGCGGTCAAACTCGTCCCGAAGACCTCGACCGACGCAGCAGAGCAGAGCTGCCAGAAGGTGCTGATAGCGAGTGCAGAACTGACTGTCCTGCAGGTTGTCCTTCAGCAGCCTGACAGAGACAGAGGCCATCAAGACCAACACCAAACTAAAGTGAAACAACACAGCTACGTTCTGCTTGATGGGGCCTCTTCTGTGAACCTGCTGAATTAGAACTTCCTCTGTGCGAACTTGCAGAGGTCTGAAACACCAATGAAGACGCTGACCTACTTTGTTTGACTTGGTTGGATTTAGAATCTGAGGTTTGGAAACTAGTAAACTGATCCTTTAGAGGCACAAAGTGGATCTGTGACAACATCTTTCTGACACTAAGCTATTGTTTCAGTGCCACCAGTAAAGCAGCTGACCAGAAGAGGTAGTGAGCGATGTGAATGTCCCCGATGGCTCTCCGTAGGAGGAAGCGAACCAGAGAGCTGTCCAAGTAACACTCGTACTTCAGGGCCTGGGACACAGACACAGACAGCGATTGGGATCAGTCAAGCCCATTTCCATCAATACAACCCTAAATCACAGTGTTCTCACAGAGCGGTGAGTTGATACGTGAACACAATTAGGATTTTACCCACACTGCAGGAAAACATGTAGGAAGAGCTTATAACAGCAAATCAGAAAACAAGGACGACTCTGGCTAAACATCGGCTCCTATCAAACAGAATATCTGCAACAAACACCTGCCTCTGATACATGCCTGGTTCACATACATTCACATGATGCTACGTCATGCGTTAAATAGAATAAACGCTTAGCAGGATCACACCTGCTGCAAGCGTCGCCACATTACCTGGACCAGCTGGGGCAGGAAGTCCACCAGCTCCGAGTCTGAGATGGACTCCATCCACTGCACAGCCGTCCTCCTCAGCTCCTGGTCCGGGAACCTAAAACAAGCACACAATGATGTCACTCAGGTGCTCATGATGTCACTCGGGCGCTCAGCCCTTCAGACAGACAGCAGAGTCTGTGTGACGTACAAGGCGTGGAGGAGTCCCAGGGCGTCCAGGTGACCCAGGCAGGCCCACTGCCTCAGCAGGGTGTAGATTTCAGGCAGACAGGCCCACTCCCAGCAGGGGGCGCTGGCCAGAACCAGAGGCAGTGCTGCACTCTCCGACTGACAGAAGGCCTTCTTCTCCCACAGCAGGCGCTTGTCCTCTGCCGTCAACCTGCACATGTATGCCACACAATAAAATACCAAACCCTCCAGAAAACGGACCTGTACTCACAGGGAGCCACTGAAACAAGCAGCCTAGAATAATAAATATCTTTATTGGTTTCAGTGGAAAGTCAATATCCAGAATCAGTTTAATGGCCAAGTATGTTTAAACACACGAGAAATTTGACTCCAGTGTTTTCGTGAGGCAACAAGAAAATAGAAAAATGTGTGCTTTTAAAATAGAAAAGAGAGTGGGAAAAAAGAGAAACAACCTATTTATATTTTTATATATACATATACACATTGTGGCAGAAGAGATTTCAGGTTGTTATGTACAACAATTATATTTACAATTGATTGCATTGGCAGCTGTTGTCCTGTTATACAGACATGGATTATCTGTTTTAACTAACTGTTAGAATTTCTTATTAGAATATTTCTTCACTTATTTATTCGTTACATTCATTTGTTTTTTCTTATTTATTTCATTATTTTTATGACCCATCTGATCTGTGACAGTAGTGTTCTCTGCTGTCATGTGTTAAAAGATCCACAGTGTGAGTTACTGATTGAGCTACTGTCAGTGGAGAAACATTCACATTCTTTGAAGTAGAAACAGTTTCTTAATCAATTTGTCACAAGCATTACATCAAGCTCATGGGCACATTACTATCGCTTCAAATGACAGGAAACATCAGACTGTGTGTGAGTGTACCAGAAGAAGGCCTTCTTGTGCAGGACGTCCTGCAGCTGGATCTGACTGAGGGCATCCAGTCTGGAGAAGTCGTACTGGGGACAGAAGTCTGCTGGAGGAGGGGTACTGAACCGGATCTCGAAGGACGAGGTGGGAAAGTCCACCTGAGAGACAGAGACCAGTCGGAGGGAGGACAGAGACACTGCAACTTGTGACTATGACATGTTTTATATTTAAATGTTTTAAATACTGAAATATTACCACTGTAACATTTCTCAACAAGTGAAGCAGTTCACCTTCAGCTCCAGCATAATATTCACTATCACCTTCAGAGCTGCAACAATTTATCAACTCATTGGTTGGTTCAGGAGGTGAACACCCTGACTGTGAACCTTCCCTTAGTTATGCTGCTATAGGCTGGGGGGGGGGGCAACTTGGGGGTTCAGTGTCTTGTGGACTGTAGTCACCGAGATTCAAACCTTGTTGGGAGACGACTGCTCTACCCACTGAACCACAGTCACCCCCAATAGCTGGTGGACAACAGTGGAGGTCTACGGCCAGAGTGATAAGCTAAACCAGCGTCACACAGACTCACACATTACGGTGAGGACACCACGTTCACTGGTGCAGCTGGTCTCTGGACGGGGTTGGGGGGGAATGACAGAGAGGGAAAACAATCAGTGTTTTCTTTTAAGTTTTAGGGGTCAGGTTTAGAATTTGGTTAGGGTCGGAGTCAGGGTTACACATGTAGCTACGATGATTAAATTGAGGGTTACGGTCAGCGAGTGTCCTCACAGCTATGGGAAGAGCAACAGGTGTGTCTCACCTGCAGTATGACGCTGTCCGGCTGGCTGAAGTTCGGTGAACTTGTCCGAGCATTTCCGCTCCACCCCGGCGTCGAAGGCCACAGACCAAGTAACTTCCTGCCACATGTCAGGACACTGCAGACACACAGAGGAGGGTCAGCAAACACTGTGACCACACATTCTATCAGTCAACCGCCCGCTGCTGCTGCCTGACAGGAAGTTAGCTGCTGGTGTGGAGGAAATTACAACAGGATAACTTTTTTTTATTTCTGTCAGGTCTAATCTATAAGAACCATCGAAAACCAGTTGTGTACAGTCACCATGGTTACACGTGTTGTTCCCGTCTGTCGTGAAGTTTGTGGGAAACGATGTTTTATTTCCACAGTATCACTCTGCTCTGCAGAAGTCGGACTCCCTCACACTTGGACTAAAATGCTTTCACTGGGTTCAGAGGAGACTCTAAATCATCAGATAACATTAAAACAGTGACTCTCTGCATGTAGAGATGACTTATGGCCGACTGTCCACATTAATCCTGGAGCTGACTGGCAGAAACACGAGAGATCTCTGACTGAGAGGAGCGTTAACCTTACATCTCTGTTCACAGCGGTTCACGGTACGTTATCCTGCTGCTCCATGTGCCGCGCTGCTGCAGTTTCCCAGTGCGTCCCAGCGGTTTGTGTGCACAATTCTCTGGACTGTAGATGAATATGATTCATGAACCTGCTTCTTCCAGGACATTACTGAATGTAAGACGGTGGTGAAACATCCAGCAGCTATTTCAGCTCGGGAACCAGAGAGATTTTGGCCCGTGGAGGAAACGGTTTCACTGATCAGCGCCTGCAGTTTGTGACTCCACAGATGCGGCGGGTCATTAAATTACCTCATGTACATTCATCTGTCTTTCATATTACTGTTTAATCTTTATTTGTTGACGAAAAATGTAAGCATTTCATGACAGTTCTCGTTATCAAACGTTACTTTTTATTTAGTTTTAGCTTCATTTTCATCCTGAAAAATAAGTGGCCGATGAATATTTTTCATCATAGTTTTTGTTATGAAATTAACACTGATCAGTTAATCACATGACGATAAGAATCCCTCAAACCCATCAGTAGGACGAGCAGTGTTTCGGTCAGCAAAGATGAGATTCAAGGGACAGACTGATCTCTTTAAAACCGTGCGTATGGAGCTGGACATTTTCCATTAATCTCAGTGTGTCATGTTTCAGGATGAAACTACAGGGCTGACTGGGTATGTCTGTCTGGTAGATTCCTGTCCAGCCATGTTCACAGTGCTGTGGCATGTGTCATTAAAGCTCCACATTTACTGAAATCATCTTCTTCTTTTGAGAGCCAGATGCTCAGCTTGATGCCATTCTCATGAAGCTACAGCCAGCTCAGTTTAGCCGAGCTTAGTTTAAAGACTGGAAACAGGTGGAAACAGCTAGCCTGGTTGTGTCCACAGGTAACAGAATCCACCTAGCAGCACCTGTAAAGCCCTCTGATCAGCACGCTGGACCTGGTTTTGTGACTCACTGTCTGAAGTTGAAGAGCGGCATGGTGACCCAGCCCAAAGCCTCGATGCTGCGCCGCTGCTTTCCCTTGTCCTCAGCTCCTCCGGGGGGTGGCAGAGAGCTGGCGTACAGAGTCACCATCAGCTGAGACTCTCTGGGCAGCTGGTTGATCTGCACAGGGAAACATACCCTGCAGCGAAGGGGCAGGTGAGGGGGGACAGGTGAGGCAGAGCTGGATGAAGAGCAGACCAGTATGCTGATCATCCAAAGCCACAGAATTCATTTTAAACTGCCGTTGTGTTTATAATGATGCACAGCTACAGTATTTCCAGGACAGGGAGTGTCCACGTACTTTTGGATAATTTGTGCACCTGAATCACTTTTATTGAACTTGTGTAAGGTGTCTGAGTATCAGTGTATGTCAGTGTAGCTGAGCATGGATCTACGGGTGTACAGGTGAGGCTGTGATGTCATCGCTCTGACAGGTGGCGGTCAGGTGGGGGTACGTACCTCTGGTCCCACACCACCAGGTGGAACAGGTATTTGCTGACCGACTGTTTGCTGGTGTGCTGTGGCGCACAGAGCTCCACCCCTCCATGAGTCAGAGAGCAGGACAGGAAGAAACCCTCGTAACTGACCAATCAGAGAGCAGCACAGGGACGTGATGTCAGAGACTGTAACACTGAGTGACGGAGACACACCTAAACTGCTTTGCATTTAAAAGTATTTAAATACATTTTGCATCATATTCAAAGTCAGCGTGAACATGGCCATGCACAGCTTGTGCACCTGTATGGATCCCTACATCCACCTGCATGGATCTACAGGTGGACGCAGGGATCCAGAGACAGCACAGAGTTTCAGGTCCAAGCTCTACCTGTCAGATGGAGATGGGACATGTTGGCAGACTCAACTGGCAGATGTTCAACATGTCACAACACAAACTGCTGGAAAGTAGTTTTACACACGGTACTTGTACTGTACTTGAGTATTTTCACTCCGTGTTAACTTCATACTTTCACATCTCAGAGTACTGTATTTTTACTGTGCTACATTTATCTGGCAGCTGTATTTACTGGTCAGATTAAGATATGAGGTGAAAAAGTAAAGCAACACTTTTACACTGTCACGTCTGCAGTAAACACAGTGTCTCCTCGTCATGTTTCTGAGGTTCTGTGACTTAGCGCTGAGGCTAACAGTAATGTCCATAATCGATCGGCCCGCTTAACATTTTATTGATGAATTGCTTGGCCCATGAAATCACAATCTGTCAACATATTCGTGTTTTGTGCCACCATGACTCCAACACCCAAACACACCTGGTTTATATCAGTGAAAACTGTGAAAACCAGAAAAATATTCACCTTTGAGAAACTGGAACCACTGAAGTTTTGGCATTTTGTTTAAAAAATTACTTAGTTTCTAATTAGTTCTGTGACAATCGATTAATTGATTAATCAACAATTGATTATTCTTTTGATAATGTCCAGGTCAGCATCTTTTCACTTCATCAAAAACACAATATGGTTGTCCGGTGTTTTGTTTTGTAAATGAGATAGAAACAGAGAAAAACAGAGCATTCCAGAGTTTCATTGTTTCACCACTGTCTGACTGATCACATCTGACCCGATGGTCAAACTTTGTGCCAATTCATCAAGAACCTCTGGGGATGTTTCACAGAAATATAAAGCCAGAGGATCAGCAAAGCTTCCATAAGTAATTAGATTAAATTCACAACACTGAGATATTTCAGTCTGAACCAAAGCAACAGTGAGAGAGTCACTAACGTGGACAACAACATATCGAAATCGGCTACAGGTGGAATTCAGGTGCAGGTCTGCAGATAACGACTCTATAGCAGCAGAATCATGTGACCTTTGTTTCGTGCACACATGTCGTGGTGTGTAGTGCACAGCCCACACTCCCTGGAATCGGTGGAATATAAATGCAGCTGAAGGAACGGCGCAGGTGAACAGTATGCATGGGTCACATGCAAAGACTGCGTAATCTGGCTCCGCTCTCAGTTCTGGTTCAGTTCTACAGTTCATCTGAGGCTCCTGAATGTGAGCAGCCTCCAGGTGGCACCACAGCCACAGCTTCAACAACTGTCCACGGGTCCCTCAGGCAGCGAAGAGCCAACATCTCTGACCTAAGAGCACGAGCAGAGTCCTGCACCAACAGAACTTATAATCATTGTTGTCTGTGCTGCTGTTGAACTGTGCTGCACTATACTGACACATGGTCCTGGTATTTCGCCTCACAACCGGGGCACAACACTAGAACCAGTTCTCAGTGTAACACAGTCCAGTTGAACAGAAGCACAAACTGCAGCCTCCACAGTGAGCACACAGATGAACACCTCTGTGATAGAATCTCAACACAAACTGAACATCATCACCTTCATGAAGGAGGGTTTAACCGCAGGACTAATGGGTTAGACTGACTTAGTTTGACACAGCTGTTTCATAATAAACTGACCATTCTCTCCACCAGGCTTTTAGATCTCAGGTATCTGCATGTTCAGGCTGTCTGTCACTTAACTCATCTCTTCCTTCCTTTCCTGCAGCATCATGTAACATCCTTGGAGATTAATTAAGAACTCCGTCCATCAATCCGTCTGTATGTCCAACTATTCAGTCACCCATCCATCAGCACTGACATTAGCAGCGGCTCCTAGCCCAGGCCCTTTCTACAGCTGCATAAACCCTACAAATCCCTGTAGATTCTGTTTATTTGTGTGTGTTCTCTCTCACAGATGTTGTTTTGCTGACAGCCAGGTGTCAGGCGAATCGGCTGGCCTCCTCTCAGAGGTCAAAGGTCAGGGCTGGTTCCCAGGCAGTCAGCCCTTTGTCAGAGTGAAAGCCTGTCCCAGAGCTGGTGGGGGAGGTGCAGCAGGAAGCCGCTCTCAGTCTGAGCTGCTTTTGTTGAAGGATCACACCGATTCTCTGTGCTGGTCTGAGAACAGCTGAATCAGTGTGTTTGTTCACACTGAGGATGCAGCCTGCAGGGGGCGCTAACAGAGCACAGACTGTAAGGCGTCATGTTCCTCTCAGTGTCACTGCTGCAAACACCTGGAGCAACATCTGGGCTGTTTCTGTTCACTTTGCAGCACTGAATGACTTTTACACTGGTTTTACGCTTACTGTAAGTCTTAAAGACTGAGCAGAATAAGCTCCTCGCCAGTGGTGGAAGGTTACTAGGTCATTTACTCAAGGCCTGTACTGTAAGTCTCATGTACTTTACCTGACTATTTCCATTTTATACTACTTTTTACTCCACCACATTTCAGAGCTAAATACTATACTTGTTCCTGCACCGAGTTCATCTCACAGTTTTACTACTGGCTTCTTAAAGGTGCATTACCTAATATTTCCCTGACTGTCTGATATATAAATAAACCCAAGACAAACTCTGCGTCCTTAGCTGTGCACTAACTTACAGAACCTTTCATCATCTCGGTAAACGCATCCTCTACAAACAACATCAGCCATACGTAGAAACTATGGATCATAAATTGATAAATGGTCGACCTCGTCACTAGACACTGTGTCCCTGTGGTGCTGCTGTAAAGCTGGGACTCGTTAGTCAGCTACTGCTAGCTTCAGACTGCAGGCTGCTTTTTGTTCAGTTTGTCCCAATCAGGCATCTGTAGTTTACATCTTCAGGAAAAAGGACATAAGGGGCAAAGAGTGGTGAGGAGCAGTTTATGGAGTTAATCTGTTTGAGTCTCACTAGGCCCTCGTGGCTGAACAGATTAGGAAGAACAGGTTAAATATTGAGATTATAATATAAGCACAAAGCAAAGCTGGTAAAGAAATTACCTGTGCCAGGTTGTGAGTGTATGTGTTGTTGTACCTGGCTGCCCAGGTGATGGGGACGCGGTGGGCGGCGTATATGTCGAAGGACAGCACGCTGGTGATGAGGCCAGCCTCCTGGACCGGCGCCATGCAGCTGTGGCTCTGCGTTGTCGTGTGGAAGTTGGCATTAAATGTGCTGCAGTACAGCTCCACCAGATCCAAGATGGCTGCCGTCAACTTCTCCACCACTTTCTCTGTGAAAGGAGACGATCACACAGCGCCTGCTGGTACTGGAATATATCGACAGAGTTTTACGTCCTAAAATCAGATCAGCTGTGAAGAGCTGCGTTTCACAGTGTCAGGGCCACACACAGCCTGATGGATGTCCAGGGCATTTCAATGACCAAACGTTTTGTGATTGTTGTGTATAAATGACAAACAAGTCAATGAATAAACCACAATAATTCTCAAATGAATGAGCAATACTTTTCCAGGTTTCCCCTGACTTTTGGACCACTGACAGTCCCCAGTGTGTCAGATTACAGGTCTGAAACAGTCAAAGCTGTGAGCAGCACCAACTAAACTCCATTCACCTGCACAGTGTTGGAGGCAGAAATCTGAGGTGCCTCCAGACCTGGACAAAAACTGAATCTGACTGGACAGACACTTTAATATATTTTTATCTATCACTTGTGTCAGCTGTTGGTACAAACCTCTGTTCTCTCTGACAGCCAGCACTGATGCATCCTGGGGGGACAGATGAACAGGAAACCATGAAGAAGAAAAGTGAGACGTCAGTTGTTGTTTTTTTTTATCTTGTCTGTGTTCATGAATCCCGTCCTGAATAAAAACAGCTGATGTGTCCTGAAAACAAGACACTGTCAGTGTCTCTCACCTTCAGGACTTTGGGCTGCAGGCGACAGGGGCACGCTGGGAGTTGGCTGAGGGCAGAGGTCACATCTGGTGTCTCCACAGCTGCTAACGAGCTGCACAGCACCTTCACAGATTGGACAAGACGCTCCACGTGTAACGGCAGCTCCACCTTCAAAAACAGAAATGAAGAATTGTGTGTTTAAGACTTCTGTCTGTAATAGGACCTGTTTTTCACCTGGAAAGCTGGGACATGTTGGACAATGAGGACATGTTTCTCAGGTTCAGGTTTATTAGATATAAATTAAGGTAACCCCACCCCCACACGGTACTTTTACCTGCTTTGTGCATCAACTAAATACAAGATGCTATAGTTAAGGCTTTTGCAGCTTGTGATTTTTGTGTTTGGTGAACAATTTGGATAAAGGTGTGTCCCCAAACTCCCAGCTTCAACTGTAAAGATGGATGTACAGTAAATGGTCCCAACAAGGATGTGCTGTTTTAACCCAAAAGGTTTCATTGTTATATGGACAACTACATGAGTAGAAAGCATGAGGGAGATGCTATACAGAAAGACAAAGGCGTGTGTTACCTCTGACAGCAGGAAGGACTCGGCTTCATTGTGAAAAGTGTCCAGCAGCAGAGTCAGAGCCTCTCTGACCAAACAGACACACAGAGCGGAAGCAGGACTTTTAGAACAATAACAGAAATACAAGCCGTGTTTAAGTTGCTGGGCCCATCTACCTTATTGTCTGGGATCTGACTCTGCCACATTATTTGTCTAGAGCATCACAAACTCCAGCCAACCATATAAAGCATCAAAAGCTCTACAAATGTAACCTTTATAATAATAATAATGTAATTGTAACTATAACTAACTATGAGAAACCTGTGCGAGTCCGCCCTCACCTGGTGACAGTCTGTTTGATTGGACGCTCCTGCAGCAGGATGCTGTGGTTCATGGTGGACGCCGTCTCGTCATCGTCTTTCTGTCAATTAGAAGGTGAAAAAAGTCCTATGTACAAATCTACATTTCTGTCTCTGAGCCACTTTCTGTCCAGCACCAGACTACTGTTTACAAATCAACATTTCTCAGATCTAATGATGGAATCCACACTAGTGAACAGGCTCTGCTGTGGCTGGTCCCTGGATCCAGGTGACATCACCCTCCTCAGAGCCCAGGCTGTGATGTCACCTGGATCCAAAGACCAGCCAATAGCAGAGGGCTTCTTCAGTACCTGCTGCTCACCTGCAGGTGTCACACTTCACACAGACCTTGAGTTTTTGCTCACAATATTTCTCAAATACTGTATGTCAAAATGTGGCTTCATGGGAAAAACCTGTAAATGATCTTGGACATGTCAACATGTGGACTGGAGAAACCAGGAACTGAACCTCCAATGTTCCAGTCAGGAGGCAAACCGCTGTACCTCCTGTGCCACAACTGCCCCCAAACGTGTGATTTTGAAACCGGAGCTGCGATTCCCGTTTGCTGCCAGTCATCTCCTGTATTTCTGTTCTAATACTGACTGTTTAGTTTGGAGGACTTGTTGGGTCTGAATGAACCAGAGCTGATGATAACGTTTGCGCAGTCTCGCACTGACCTGTATATGTACAGCTGCACACCATGTTTATTCAGGCTTCCTGTTTATGTTCAGCTGTATTTATATTTGAGCCAATGGTTGATGCACAGCTGGGACGCGTCCACCATCACTGATGTAACTCAAGACAGTGGTCAGTCATTGACTGGTCAGTTTGGGCATTTGTCTGGAGGTAGTGACCGCTGAGAGGGAACACAGCAAGACCCAGACTTAAGACAAAGCTTTTCACTAACACACATCGAACAGAGACGTGTCCCCCGTAGACCAAATCGCTGCACTGAACAGTCTGTATTCAGCACTGAAACAAGGTGGAGCAGGGGTTAGCAGCTCTGTGCACAGACACACTACATTCGCACGTTTACGACAAGACACCTGTTAACCCTTTGTGTCAGTACATCCAACTCTGATGCGTGTGTGTGTGTGTGTGTGTGTGTGTGTTCGTACCATGCGGGCCAGCTCTGTTCTGATGGCAGATCGCTTGGTGAGAAACAGGCGGACATCCCGGTCGAACTTCAGACACTGCTGAACAAACTCTAGGCCGGCCAGAGTCTGAGAGCTGGGAGACAGAGACAGAGATGAAGACAGTTTAATGTATACAACAGACTTCTGCTGGTGTCTCCTGCAGGCTGCAACTCTGTTCTGCACACAGTGAAACACACTTGGCCCCTGAGTTTACCAATCAGGAAACAGCTGGAGGCAGACTGGAACTCTGCCTGGTGAATGAATCCTGTATGAAATGGGCTGCACAAATAAACCTTTGCTTGATCAGATTGATTTTGTTTTGGAAGGACATCAGAGACAGTGATATCCTCAGGAAGGAAGGAACACATCAACATGTGTGTTCACATGTCACTGGGGTAGGACTCGGAGGGGAGGCACCAGTTCACCACACTCAGAGTCTTTGTCTTTGGCCCAGGTCTGTTACAGACCTGATCTTATGGCTTCACCAGGGTTAACGTGTTAACCCCTACCCCAGGGATGTTCTTCCTGTCTGAACAGAGCTTCACACTTTAATCTGGCTCATATGCTGATTATTCCATATGTAGTGGTGGAAAGTAACTAAGTACATTTACTCAAGTACTGTACTTACTGTGAGTACAATTTTAGGGTTTCTGTACTTGAGTGTTTTCATTTTCTGGTACTTCATACTTTGACTTCACTACATTTTAGAAGCAAATATTATACTTTTTACTGCATTACATTTATTTTATAACTTTATAGTTACTAGCTACTTTTCATAACCAGATGAATACAAAAATACAGTATTCAAAAAAATACAAAGTCACAAACTACCCAGCAGTACTTCAAATTAAATGCATATAAGCTTGTTAAAACTCACTCCCCCTTTACCAGCTGCAGCATTAAATGTGATCAACACAAGATGCTATACAATAATCTAATATGTACTATTCTGCATAATGAGTACTTTTACTTTTAGTACTTTAGGTATTAGCATTAAAACATACCTAGTACTTTAGGTATGTTTTAATGCTAATACCTTTGTACTTTTACTTAAGTAAGATTTTGAATGCAGAACCTTTACCTGGAGAAGAGTATTCTACACTGTTGTATTGCTACTTTTACTTAAGTAAAGGATCTGAGTACTTCTTCCACCACCGGCCATATGTCAGCACCACCTGTGCTTCAGGACGGTATACTGACACAGCACCAAGGGTGGAGCAGCACAGACGCTGCTGCTGCTCTACACATACCATAATAAGCACAGTTACAGTCGTCCTGTCAGCTACAGGCTATCAGCCTGACACACACTTCCGCTGACACACACCACAGCTGAGCAGCAGCCTGTCATTATGAGTGCAACCACAGACCACAGAGCAGTGTTAGTGTTTTATTCTTCTGGTTTTTACCCCTCGGCGCAGCCGTGTGGTGTGACTGAAGGCAGCGGTGAGGGCAGCGGGACTCATTGTCACAGTCTCGGTCCAGCTGCTTAAATCCAGACGAAAACTCTGTCACCATGTGCAATAAGCAGCGAGGAGTTAGCGGTGGGATTTGTTTTGGCCTGGGTTTCACCTCTCAGGCTACAGACCAACTAGGCAGCAGCTGTACCGGAGAGAAATTCTGCAGACAATACTCAGGGCTGAAAAACTACCGTAACCTCATCTGCAGTTTCTGGATTTAATCAGACAAGGACAGAGAGAGCTGGTTTAAAATATTATCAATATAAATGTTTACAGTATTTATCTGTTGTAAAAGATTAGGTCTGTCTCAACAAAGACCAAAAGTGATTTAAGTGAGTTTCATGTTTTGATGATGGAGCAATTTACACAGCATTTTTATTAATCACACCTGTTACTCTTCCTTCATCTCACTTTGTTTTTATTCATTAAAGCACCATATCTTTAGAAAGCAAAGCACAGATTTTACTGTATAAACCCTTATAATAAGAGTATGAAGAGTTTTTATTAATGTGACATCCTCATTGTCAGGCTTGCCCTGCGCTACCTGCCTCTCCTTTCTTTTTCTTTCCCTCTGCAGGCACACTCATCAGGCTTGGTGCTCACCTGTGCGGAGCTACACGGCTGAGATCACTCTCTACTTAAGGCGTTGGTGAATACTTCTCCGATGCCAGTATGTTATCTACTACTAACGATAATCTGGCTTCCTTCTACGACAATACAATCCACAGATTGTGTACCTTCACCTGCCATCAGCGGCTACTCACCTCGCCCTTCTGGACAGACGTCTTCCTCAAGACTCCTCAGGTCAGCCTGGTCCTCACATCCTTACTTCACTCCTCTCCTGTCCTCCCTGTCACCAGTGTCTGCCGTCCTTGCCTCCATATTGTGTGGGACCTGTCACCATAACTCCACACTCCTCAGCCCCCCGACAGGCTCCTCAACTGGTCCACGGAGTTTGTTCCCACTCGTCGCATCTCCTCATTCCTCTGCTAAGACTATCAGTGCTTACCTGCAGTTTTTCCAATAAACCCTCTGGTCTGAACTGTTGAACCTACTTCTGAGTCCGTCTTGCTTACTCACCTTGCTCCCGCGAGTGAGCCGACGTAACACTCATCATGCAGCCTGTGCAAATTGGTTAAAGTTCGGGCGTTTTTGGATGTACTCTTGATTGTTTTTGTTGTCATGTTAATATTTTTGATAAAGTGTTGACATTTCTGACATGTTGAACCTCCTTGAATACATTTTGCATAATTTTACATGTATGAAAATTTGGTCGCTGTTGATTTCTTTCTCTCGCACTGTTGTAATGAGCTACGTTCAGCTCTGACAAATAAAAGCTGAATTTGTCCTACAGAAGCCACCATACAGACAATGTCTTCTCCTGTGGCACAAATAAACTTTGCATGTGCCAATTCAGAGTGTAAACTTGAAGCTCTCTGCTCTTCACTGAGCAGTTCAGTTTTCTGACGTGTGATGAATGTTACAGTGTCAGAGAGGGTTCGCTCTCATGGCTCCAGACATACAGTTGTGTTTTACTTTGGGCAGTACTCCATTCATGTTTTACTTGAAAAAGCTCTGTCAGCAGCTCTACAGCAGAAGCTGACACTGAGGATGTGAAACTGACTTTTTACAGAAATGATGGTGAACTTGAGCCAGAAAAATAAAAACAGACAAACCACAGACACAGAGGGGGTTTTTCATCAGAGCTGCAAATGGAGCTGAGCTTCACTCTGAGTCACAGACATGTTAAAAACATGCCAACCACACCTATCAATCAGAAAATGCAGACTCAGATAAGAGACTCTTCCTGTCTTATCTGTACCAAGAACAGAAAAGCAAAGACTAAAACATTAAACCAAACTGTTTTAAAGCCTGGTTTCACTTTGAAGAACTAAAACTAAAATATGTTTGTCAGCATTATTCACATTCAATATACAAGTTATTTCATAGAGAACCAGATGAGTCACACCAAATACAGCACAGACACCCAGTTTACTACACATACTGTAGATGGACTCTTTATGTCACAGGACTGGCAGGACTCAAGGCAAATGCTAAGAGCTGAATTATCAGAACGAATCAGACACATACAGTATCACTCAACAACAAAACCAGACCACAAAGACAGAGTCCTCGAACCAGGATCGGCTCAGGGACTCTGAAGGATTGAGGTTCTTACTTGTTGAGGAACTCTTCGTGTCCGCAGACCTTGAGCAGGTAATCGTCCACATCCAGGTGATCCAGATCATCCTGAGCATAACATAGAGTCTGGTAGATGAGCAGGTCCACCGTGGACGAACCTCAGAGACACAGAGATGCTGTTATGGTAAATGATCTTATATATTATAAGAATATACAAATATATGGGGCTTTTCTGTGCCAGTTTGTTAAATGACTGGTCACCTCCACAGAGGGAACACAAGATTAGGAATGGAAGACAGAGCTGAGAGAGATGAGGACAGAGGAGGAGTATCCAGGCAGCAATGCTGCCATGCCCAACCTCTTTATACACAGGAAACACTGGTTTCTATGGCAGGGCCGATGGAACACGGAGTCCTACCATCGCAGGTAAAGGTGAGTGGCTCTCTGAAGTGTTCACTGATGACGGTGACCTTCACGCTGACCCCCAGCCCCTGATGAAGCTCCTCGTGACCAACGGATGGAGACCACACAAAGCCGGCGTTTTTCGAGAGGTCGCTGTGGGGGTATGCTGAGCGTAACCTGAAAGACAGAGATGCAGACCGGTGACATCTCAGGTGTGTGGTTGCTACAGAGGGAAATAAAGATAAAACACGAAACTATTGCTGCAGACCTCTAACCTCAACCTGATTTTTGTTGTGAACCTCTTTGAAAAACTGAAGCTGGTCCTCACAAAGATGGCTATAAAAGTGTTTGCAGGTGTGTTAGCGTGTTACATGTGTTACTCACACGTCCAGCATGTGGCAGAAAGCCGCCACCTCCTCGTCTCTCTCCTCAGACACCTGGAACAGCTCATATCCAAACCCATGCATCCTGGAGCCCAGGGACACCTGTCAATCACACCAGAGCCCAGCAATCAGAGCACAGCTTGTTTAGAACCAACCAACCACAGGACTACAAGAATACACAAAAGACTAGCGGCACTGTTTTCATTTAAAAACCTCAGTAAACCTGGAGCTGAGGTGATTTTGTAGGACCTTCTTGATTTGACAGATGTCCTGTTGAAACCGATTTTTTTTACAAACAGCTGAGAAGCAGGCTATGACATCACTTCCTGTGCAAGTGCGCATCTGTATCAGTGGAAAACATTGGTCCATTAACAGAAAGGTCACCGTGTTGTAATGCAGTAGTCATAATCCTACTCTAATTAAATAATTTACAAAGCAAATATCACTAAATAATGAATCCATTTGTAAAAAAGAGGAAATGGTTGTGTCAAACTGTTTATTTAGGAATAGAGGAAAAACCTATGTCGTTATTTGGACAGTGCATGAGAGGGTTAGCACAAACTGTCTGTTTGCTGCTACAGAGCTGTAATAGAGAGCTGGGTCTACAGGACCAGAGAGGACATCCACTGCAGACCACGTGTGTGATGAGCTGTCGTCAGCAGGATAGGGGCCGACTCCACAGACACGTCTTCAGTCTCATATGATGAACAGGAATGAGGAGTGTCTGCCTGGGTCGAGCCCTGAGCGAGAGAACGTCACAGAGGAAACGTGAGACAGGTCGGCTCGCAGCAGCTTATCACTGACGCCCAGGAACCATCGAACCAGAAACCTGCAGCTGCAACACCCTCAGTAAACATGTCTCTAAGCCAGAGCTGCTCGCTTAAGCTTTGACTGAGAACATTTCTTAGATTTGTGTTGACGTCTTTTCATGCGATGTGAAAATTCTTCTTCTGTGTTTGAGCGGAATCAAAAACTGAGTTTTAATCCACGCTCACATGAAGAGAAGAGCTGTTCTCCAAACTCCCACACAACAAGGAAACAAGTGCTACTGATATTATTGGTTCTAATCAACAAACAATAATCCTAACTGTGATAACTGACCCCATGTGCTGTGTCCTTCTTAGGACTGTTTGAGGCAACAGTACAACAGACCCCATGTGTGTTTGTCAACCATGGTCCTGGACAATAAGAGGGTTAGGGTCCTCACTCCCTACACACTCAGTCAAACATAAGATCGATGAAACACATGTTTGGCTGACCCTGCAGAAGAATGATTTGGAGGTAAAAACTTGATTTCAGCTTTATTCAGTGCTGCAACATAATACAGGTGAGAAGTGTGACATGTCCGTGCAGATTCTCAGTCATCCAGGTCATAGTAAGTTGAAAAAAATGACAGAGCTGACGGCCCTTCACAGCGAACGTTACAGGTTTAACAGACATGAGGTACTGAGATGTTGACCTGATTGCAGCAGCTGTGCTCACAGTGTTGACAGCGGTGTGAAGTGCGACACTGCAGCCAGATCACTGGGAACCCACAGAGCCTTTGTTGTTGTTTACGCCACCATATGTAACCTAAATAAAATGTACCCGCCACATGGAGATGTTTGAGTAAAACCTGTTGTGTAAGCAGAGCTGTTGATGCAGGAAATGTCACAATCGGTGCTTTAGACTACACCTGGTGGCACCTGGTAGGAAACATCCAACCGAATAAAGACCTACACCTGTCAGAGGGAACACAACTCAGAACCAAACCTCAATGGAACACAGGTATTATGACCCAAAAGCCAACAATTTGGTCAGATCTGTAGTCCCTGGGACCTGGTGGCTACTTCCTAGTTTAAATCAGGAAGTACCCACCAGGTTAAATTTTGTTTCTGTTTTACTGAGAAGGTCCCTGCTTATGCTCAGACGTTCAGCCCTGATGCATCAGCATGTTTGACCCATGTTGTTAGAGTTTAGAGACAACATGATTTCATTTCTCAACGGGCAGCAGTGTTCAGCTACTGCCAAAAGCAAAATACTTTAAATAATATCCAGACTAATGTAAAATATTTTATGTAACATTCTGGGCTGCAACACTTAATCAACAGGAAATGAATTGCCTTTTTTTTTTTTTTAATAATCAATCAATCAAATCTTGAAAAAAATTGGATGGGTTCAGGGTCTCAGATTTAAGTCTGGTTTTGGACTTAAATTGTTGGACATTTTCCACTTTTGACTGATGTTTTACACGCTAAACCATTTATTAATTATTTATTACCATCATAAATAGATTAATCAATGGTAAAAATGCATTAGTTGACAGACATCTGAGTGACATCATTATGACATCATATATGATCACATGAGTAGCAGGAACATCACTTGTCCTTTAAGGAACAGAGAAATCAGCAGGGTCTTACCGGGTCTGCAGACACCCGCCGCTGGTTCTTGTTGCTCTTGGGAACAGGTAGGTACGTCCTAGGTGGTACCTGAGGGGGGAGGGTCTTACTCCGAGCCACAGGCTTCCCTGATTGGTCCCCGTTCGCCCTCCGATCTCGAGGCCCCCGACTCCCATTGAGTCTGGACAGTGACTCATTGATGTTGTCGTAGTTCAGCTCCCCTGAGGTCACTTTGGGCTGATCCACATCAGGGGTGAACAGATTCACATTGCGGGGCATAGTGGACCCCCGAGGGGGCAGGTCGGGGTTCTCTGACACTGACGACTGGGGGATGGGGTTTCGCGGGGGGATTGCCGGAGGGACATCATCTGGAAGAGAGGGGAAGCCTTTGGGAAAAAGCCCTACTCCAGATCCAAGCAAGTCCCTGAGGCTGGAACCTGAAGGGTCCCTGAACTTGCTGACCTCCGGACTGTCCAGGATGTACAGGGACTCTTTGATGTAGCCTCCCTGAGGAGGAGGCACCCTGGATGGGATGGAATGTGGAGACTGGGACCCACCAGGCTGGTTCAGGGAGGAGTCGGATCCAGAGAGGCCCTGCGGCAGGCTTCCTCCTGCGGAGGCAGGAACAGGCGGGCTGGGGGTGGGTCGGGGGCAGTCAACAGAGGGATTCGGGGTCTTGGAGTGGGTCTGGTTGGTCCCTGTGCTGTTCTTGTCCTGCTTGAGTCTGGAAAGGGCGTCGTACTCCATCTGCAGGGCCTCGGCTAGGACCAGCTCCTTCTGACTGAGACCCAGGGCCTCCAAGCAGCCCCAGCCACCCTCGCTGCTCTCCTTTTGGGTCGATGACATGATGTCTACACAGCAGAGAGAGAAGATCTCAGTGTTGTGCTGCTACAGGAGGTGGCGAGGACACATGCGAGGCCAGCTGAAGACAGAGAGGAGAGAAGTCAGAAAACATTCTCCTTTACTCAGCATTAAAGTCTGTATGTTCCTCTGCTGCTGAGGGGGCCTGAACAAAAGCCACCAAATCATTCAGTGAACATGTAGTGAAATCGCTTGATGTTCAGGGTCTGGACTCACCTGGAGAAAAACTTTCCCCCTGGGTCCAGAGACCAGACTAAGGGTTTTACACCTCAGTGAGTGTTTTCAGATCGTTTGCTAAAATACTTTGACAGCACAGCATCAAAGTTCATTCTTGACCCTGAAAGCGGCAGTTTGTCGCTCATTCCGAGCTCAAGGGCCTCTTACCAGCCTTTTCAGGAGCTTTCATGCACACACTCCACTCTCCAGTCCAAGAGTTATAAAGAGAGTCAAAGAGTATCCAAAATGTAGAGGTAAAGCCTGTAAGTGGACCCTAACCCAGTAAATCTGTGGTTATGTGTAGCTGCACATCAGAGTTTGAAACGGGCCCAACGGGCCTAAACATTAGGCCACGTTGGCTGTGGAGACAATCACATTACTTATTTACTTATTTAACAATAAACTATTAGAGTCATAAAAACCCTGTGATCAGGGCAGGTGGTCGAACACAGAGACAAATGAGGATGTGACCTTCAGCTCTGCAAAGCTGCTCTGGGCATTTCTTCCTATATTCTTTTATGTCTGACTATATGAGTCATCAATTGAGCAATAACATCACTGGCAGATTAATTGACAATAAAAATAATAGTTAAACTTGTTAAAGTAATTTCAGCTGTTCTCATGATCACGTGATGATGAAGTCAGACAGAATCAGCAGTTTTCACATGATGAACATTAAATCAATTAATGACTGTCTAATCCAAATGGTGTGTGGACAGAAAGGGTTCAGGTTTCTTTAACTGCTGACGAGTCACTGCAACGAATCACATACACTCCAGTTTAATCTCCAGGCTGACAGAGGATGCACAGAACCTTTGCTGTGACACTGTGAACCTGACACATAACCCGAGTCCAGCAGCACTGAAACACGGCAGGGACACGACGACCAGACCAGGATCTGACCGATAACCCTGGGTCTGTGTGCTGAGTGCGAAGGAAGGAAGGAAACGCAAAATACAATGAGGAGGAAGCAGCGAAGAGGAAGCGAATCTGTGAGGGTGGAAAACAGCAGAAACACTTGAATCCCTTTTTCATGTCACTGTAGATGATACAACGTGCAGCTGCTCAGGGGGTGGACACAATAACTGAAACAATCAGACTCAACACACCGGACCTGAGTGATGATGGCAGAAACATAAGTGACAAAATATTAACATTAGACAAACATTAGTACAATTCTCCATAAATGCCAGTTATTTCACAGTGTTGCTCTTTGGATCAGCACCGTACCCACATGACCTGGGTTAGTTCCAACCAAAGAGCCAAAGTTTCCTAGTATTGTGATGTCTGTAGGTCTAAGGAGGAAGCTGCCTATAACTGCAGATTGGTAGTGATTTAGGAGGATTTGGGTCTTGACCTGAATTAACAACATGTAAGAGGGAGGTCTGCAGAGAACTCTGTTTGCAGGTTCACGGTAGTCAATTACTGGGTGAATATCTCCGCCTGAAAAGCAATGTTTGAAACTTTAATAGATTTCAAATATGCCACCTTAGAGAGGCTGAGCTTTGTCCCTGTGTCCAGGAGTTGGCAAATTGTGGCCTTCAAATACAATAAACATGGAGGATAGGTTTAGGTGTTAGGGACAGCGACGGGGTCAGTGGATGTTTATGGAGAAGCTTCTGATCAGGCCAAACTGGGAGGAACATATCGAAACCCAGCAGTCTGGGAGGAAACTGGGCCGTTTGACCATCACACACACCACCTGGTTGTTATTCTTGTGTGCATGTGGCTCACATTTCAGCTACATCTGTGCATGTGTGGCAGTTTAGGGACTCAGTGGTGTTCACACCGGAGCCGGATGCATGGCATCGATACACACGGAACAAGGTCAGAGCTGAGCGTTAAGGCCTGAGATGTGGACACAGCCTGAGTGTTTCATTGCATCCTCATCAGGAGGAGAAACATCTCCGACATGACTAAGAGCGTCAGACGGTGAAGTGTGGCCCCCGCACAATCTTTCTTCAGACAAACTGTTGTTACTGACAACAACACAGTAAAATGACAGTGATCCGACTGAGCAGACTAAAGTCTGATGGCCTGGCTCCACCATCTTCATTCCAAACACTCAGGGGTCATCACCCTCCCCCATGTCACCACGTGCGCCCCCACAGAGGGGAATTAAAACCACCACAACCTAGCTGCGTGCCAGTTTAACACACAGGCACCAGAGTGGGCAGAGTACTGGTCTTGCTGGCTTGAAACAGCCAGTAGAAACTGGCGCAGGATTTGAGCCAACTATAGAATGCTGCAAATATTGATTCCAGATTTCACATAGAGCTAAATCGATCAGTCGATCAGCAAGGAAATAGTGAATTTTCAAGCAAAAACACACAAAAAAGTCCGAGCTGCTTGGACGTGATGATTCTGTTTCTCTCAGTGAGCTGAATCTGTCCAACAAAACGAGACATCTGAAGACATCACATTTTAATTAATCTATTAAAAATGACTGACAGGTGAATAGGTCACATAATTAGCAGAGAAACCAACTGTGTGATCCATCAGTTTGATCACACAGCTGCTGTCAGACCTGATTTACGCCGACTTTGTTGTAACACAGTGATTCTCTCGGCCGTGTGTCTGTCTCCCTGCGCGCCAGGTGACAAGAGGTAGAAGACACTAAAGTGTGTTCACGCTGTTTCACTGACAACGCTGTGTTTGCCTGATGACCTCATGACCCCCACTAGCAATGAGTGAATTACTGTCTGGAGCCCCGACAGGAGCGTGAGTGCTTGCTGCTTCCTCCAGACTTCTGCAGGTGTGAGCATCGACAGGCAGACAGCTGGATAACAGCAGCAGGTGTTAGAGAGGTCATCAGTCATTTTACACCAGTGACATCTAACAGACCGCGGTGCTGTAGATGGGTCAGGTTCACATGTCAGACCTCATCCCAAATCCAAAACCACAGCAAACTCACAGTGAGGAAGAAGACGAGCGCCTCCCTGCTGCTGCTGGTCGTGGACATGTTAATGTAGTTTCAACAGAGAAAACAATTTTTGAATCATCTTCTAGTTTCTAGTCTTCTAGTCATCTTCTAGTCTCTAGTTCAAATCATCCATAAGACTGAAAACAAAATGAGATTTGATCTTTCAAGTTGTACCTGGAAACTGTTACTGTGGACGCCGTGGCTGAGGCGACTCGATTCCACCTACAAACACATCAGACGTCACATAAACTCATCAGGACCTAGAGAGAGCGCTCGGCATGTCCCAGTCCCCCAGGCCCCCGCAGACAGAGTGAAATTCTTTCAATCAGAGGGGCAGCGGAGAACAACGAGCTGCTGTCAAGTCTTTCACGCGGCCCGGGTCTGAAGCCCCCGGACTCAAAAAGTGGGGGTGGGACCACCATCCCAGAACTGCGAGGGCATGAGCAAGCGTGCAGCAGAAAAGGCAACAGGGACTTAACTTCTTCCAAAAATAAAACAAATATGTGCTCATGCCTGATTTATTTTTCCTTCACTCCACAGAATATTTTAATACTTCCTTGTAAATGTAGCCAGTGAAACAGTTACATTGCATTCAGCTGTAATGAGCTGTGTTATGTGCAAACATTATATAGCTGTGGATCTACGGGGCAGGAGAGCAGCTAAAGTATCTGATTACACAGTCCTGCTAGGTGAGTAAACTCCCTGAGCTTTGGGCTCCATGGTGGGGGGCAGGACAGTACTGTGGTATTGGTCTTACACACACTATTTGCCCACTCACTCACACACCAGTGACATCACTGAGAGCACCTGCGGCTTTGGTGTCTTGCTCCAGGACACTTTGACATATGGAATTGAACTGGCAACCTTCCAGTGAGGGGACAACCCGCTCTACCTCCTGAGCCACTGTTGCCCTACTGCACCTCTTACACACAGCACAGTTTGTTTGTAATTAGTAGGGACAGGACTGTGTGACCTTTTCTCCATTCGTGTACGATTTGATTCAATAACAGTTCAATTAAAGATTCAATGATAACAATGCAGAGATTACATTAACCGAATCATTTCGGTCATTGACGGAACTTCTTTTAATAATGACAACAACAAAAAAAAAATCACAAAAAAAAGGTCGCCCATCAGTTTGACAGATCAGTAAGCGTAACCCGTTTGACAGAGAGTGAATTCCCTTAATTTAAAGTAAGGCCACTTAAAATCCCAATAACTGCTGTGGCTCTGATAAAAGAAGAAATGATGTGGTGGATGAAGGACAACTGAGACATACTCAATGCACCTTGTTACCTGGGAGCTGACGGGTGTGAGTTTGTCTGATGTAGCACAGTGGAGCGGCGGTTGGCGCTGTGGCCTCACAGCAAGAAGGTTCCAGTTTTGTGCCCTGGCCATCCCGGGGCCTTTCTGTGCAGACTCTGCATGTTCTCCCTGTGCCTGGGTGGGTTCTCTAAATTGCCCCTAGAATCAAGTTTGTCTACATGTCAGCCCTGTGACAGACTGGCGACCTGTCTAGGGTGGACCCCGCCTCTCGTCCAATGTCAGCTGGGATTGGCTCCAACAACCCTATTCAGGATAAGCAGTGTGGAAGGTGTGTGTCTGAAGACGCAAAGTGATGGCCTCTGCAGCAGGCTCTATCAGCTCAGCTGAGTTCAACAGAGCTAGCCAAACTTCGTGTAATTAGGTTGTTCATATTTTAAGGGTAATTATCTAATTTTGTTAAATTGCAGTGTTCCTTTCATTTCAATTCATTTGTATAGCTCCAGTTCACAGTAGTCTCGGGGCACTTTACACATTCAGGTCTAGACCTTACAGTATTATAACGAAAACCCAACAAAGGAGCAGCACTTGGCAATTAGAGGGAAACTGGTCCTCGTCCTCCTCACAATCCAAACTCGGTGAAATGTGAACACGCCGACATGAAACACTTCAACATTCACCTTTGTATAAACTTGATTTACCTGTATTTAACACCACACCTTCTGAAACGATTTCATAACATCATCTTGAAGTTGCTCACAAATTGTTTACCTGAAAATTTAATTTAAATCAATTATATTTGTACAGGGCCAAATCAAAACAATCGGAGAACTTTAAGCTCTATACCTTATCATTACTATTAGTGGTTGTATCAAAATAGGAAAAACCAACAAATGCCTCTTGAGCAAGCACTTGGCAGCCAAAACATTTGAATAAGTCTTAAGACATCCCACGACAATCAAAAAACCAAGCTAGGACATGCACCGGTGAGACAGGTGTACATGACGTCATAGAACATGACGCTAAAATGTGAAAGGTCACGGAGCATTTTTATTGCTAGTTTTAGCTGGTTTGTTGTTGCTTTCAAAAACCCCGGCACAAACACAAGCTGACGTGATATGTAGTTTTTAGTATTTGATAAATATAATGGATGTGGCCGTGTATGAAGGACATTAAACGGAATATTTACACTTTACTTGGGGAATAAAAACTTTATGAAGCAGAGGCACAAACTGGTGACAAACGTCACTGGTCACAAAGTAAATGGGAGAACTGTATTAGAGGAAATGTGCCAAAACATTCTTCTGACAGCTGCCCCTGCTGCAGCTGCTACCCAGTGGCCACACAATCCAGCCGAACTGGATTCAGAAATTTGGCACTTTAACGTGGTCTTGTTCACTGCCAACATCCGCTCCGGACAAACGTGTAATTTAAGCGGCGGTGCTGTTCTTCACACAGGAACACAACCATTTTAACAACCCGTACTTACTTTTCAAACACTGAAAACTTCATATATCGCTACGGTTTGTGCATCTGCCGGGGTGTTTTCCACCCACAGCCTGCCACGATGATGCGGTGTCGAGCAGCCGAACCGCTTCTAAAAGATTAACTAAAGCCTGCTGCAATCAGCTGCATTTAGGCGGACTGGATGCGGGCCGACTTCACCTGTGGACCGAACCGATTTGCAACCAATCATCTCTCACATTGGAGCAGAAACCAAAGTTTGCCAGTGGGCGGGATATATTTATTGTCAGAAATTTTAATGGAGTTTGGCGTGACCTTTTCGCAGCGCAGTCCTATAGCAAGGGAACCGACTGCAACTTCTCCCTCTGCGTGGAGAAACCGCGTCGGAACCCGGTACTACCGCAGCCAGCAGTGTTTCAGCATTAGGGTTCGGGTCTTACCTGACTCTCGGTCTACAGGCCCCGAGAGCGGGCGGCGGTTGCCATTTTAAAGCGGTTGACTTTTCTGCCAAAAATCACATCGATCCCCTGAGCGCTCGACTCCCGCTCGGTTTGTTCGACGGAAGAACCGTCTCCTGTCCAATTCAGACGTTATTCCTCACATTCAGACGATGGAACCGCGTCGGCGGCTCCGCTGTGTCCGCCTCTCTATACGGGGTAAACAATGATCCGCGGTGCGAGGCGGTTGCAGCGCCGGGTCCCAGTCGCAGGCGACAATTTCGACTGTGCGTCAGTGGCTCCGCGGCAGCTGCACCGGCGTCAAGTCAGAGGCTGCGCACACGTACATTTTCCGGCACATTTCACAATAAAACCACAAGTCCAAAAACTCGGAACTAAGGCCCAGAGATTTCAATTGGGCAGGGTAGGGTAGGTACTTTATTGATCCCACAGTGGGGAAATTTCTGTGCTACAGCAGCATGTCACGACCTTCATCCGCCGATAGAGGTTTCATTAAAGTACAGTGTATACGTGGGCCATCGGAATTAACTAAAATGATGAGATCAAATCAACTAATCAAAATGGAATTGAATTAAACTAAAACAACCCTGTGTACATGTGTACCCCGCCTCTCACCCAACGTCGGTTGGGACTGGCTCCACCCGAAACACCTCCTATGCCCCAGCCCCACTCCCTGTTCCTCTAGAAGATAAGTGGTGGTATAAACGATGGGGGGTGGACAGACTAAACTACAAACAGAGGTAGATAAGCAAGTTTATTTCATTAGCACGATTATATACAAGAGAGAAAGGTAAAGTGCATTACATAATACAATAAAACATTTAAAGGAGAAAAAGTGAAAAGATAAAAAAAGACAAACAGGATCAGTGTGAGATTGTTAATGATGAAACTTTCAGTTCAGTCAAATAGTGAACATCAGAGATGTTTTTTTTAATCAATAAATGTTTTAATTCCAAAATCAAATACATTTTTTAAATTAAGACATTTTTCAAAATGAAATGCAATATTTATCCAAGTATCACAAAATATTTTATTCTTCATATTTATTCTTATTTTTCACGACCGGCAGCTAAATTGTTCTGTTTGTAATAACTCAGGTGTACAGGTATTAATTAAGTAGGCCTGCTTATTTGATAATTTTATCAGCCTACTTAAAAATTTGTTGATGTGAAAGAACTTCCGGTAGCGCGCTGATCCAGTAATGTCACTTGACGTCAGCCAGTGACACCTGGTGGACAGAACATGTCATTACTGCTGCAAAGGCAGTACACTCACTCTCCCGTTTGTATTGTCTGTATTTTACTTGAGTGCTTCCATGTCCTGCTCCTTCATCCCGTGACTCCATGTCAGAGACAAACCGTGTACTTTTTACTACACTACATGTACCTGATAACTTCAGGTCCAGAATCAGATGAATCAAACCAAACCTAGTAGAACCATCAGACTTTATTGATCCCAGTAGGAAATCCACCAGCTACCCAGTAGGATGGAAAGTACTTCCCAGTATAAGTATATAAGGTAGTTACCATCAGCTCCACCTTTACCAGCTGCAGCATTAAAGTGATGGACACAGTAATTAGTCACTATGATCCAGTATCCAGAGATGTTACTGGAACATGGGTCGTTCTGAGGAAACACCAGGACATACCTGCAGCACTGATGACCTCACAGTCAGTCAGTCCCATCAGGGTCCCGTCTGAAACATAGTGTGACAGGGGAAACATCTGGTTTTATCCAGCTGTTTCTGTTACAGGCATCTGGATTTCTGCTGGATGAGGAGAAGATATGTGAAGAATTCTTAGCTTTCTTTTTATTATTTGCTTCTTTGATTTTAATCATCTTTACCTCTGGCCCCTGGGTGAGTGGCACCAAACATTTACAGACTTTGGGTTTTGTGAAAAAACATCAAAAACAAATTATTACTCTGCCTGAGTATTTTTATGTTGAAACATCTCTGGGGGCGTCTGCACCTCTCCCTCCTTAGCTCTCAGTTTAATGAGTCTGCTCCACACAGATAAAGAAAGGATTAGGATCAGAATATGTCAAAGGGCAGCACCTGAAAATTTGGTCACCTTGAGCCAGACTCATTTTCAATTAGTGCATGTTTATTGTGTTCAGTTTATACGTGACTCTGGCAGGGACCAAGTGATACTACAGTCACAAAAGAAAATAAAAGAACATGCTTCCGTATTAAATCTAAAATAGTGTTTTTATGAATAATGAAGCAGAACAGTAGCAGGGTTAGTCCTTTATTTGTCCCCAACACATTTCACTGAGTCGAAGTCTCAACAGTTGCTTTAAAAGACAGACAATTATTTACATGGTCTAAAGTGCGCTATGATTCAAAATTCACAAAGATTTCACTGGTTCTCAAACATAAATCATGGACTGAATGTAAGGCTTCAAGACAGACCATATTTCTAATACAATTTAAATTATTTCCCATCATACTGAGGCCAAAGGCCGCGTGTTCCCGTACACATGGCCCCGGCCTGTTAGAAACATGCCAGTCCTGGGTTACTGACCTGTCCATGCATCTGCCATGCAACCTTCAGACAAGCATGAGATTTAGGCACAAGTTTGGTTTGTTGTCAGGCTTGTTCGTCAGGACGCCATGGGTCTCCATGGGTCTCCATGGGGCAAATTATTTCCTGGTTAAATAAAGGTTATCAGTCATTAAAGGGTCTCATGTACGGTGGCCTCCACCAGTCCGAGCCGTTGGCCCAAGTCCAGGTCAGGTGGCATCTTTTCAGTGCATTGTTGAAATGAATGAAGTATTTACAGTAATTAGGAAAAACGAGATCCGCTTTGTTCTGTGGTAAAGAGGAACCCTCTTTTCTACAGTCAGAGAAGTCCCGTGTGTGGTCAGGAGCTGATCTCATGTGAACGCAACCGCTGAGCTCCAGAGTCAGAGACACTTCATGCCTCGTAGTCATGAAGTCTTTTCTCTTATCTACACATCCATGCAAGGATAGTTTTTAATTATCATTGATTGTTTTATTGATCATTATTATCAGTTCTTTTCTGTAACTATGAGACATGAACCTTGTAGGTTAAGAATATTTAGGCTACAGAATCGTTATCAGTTGAGAAAATGATTATTTCTTTTCTGTGTCCTTTGTGTATCCTCATTGTGTCCACAGTGTCTCCTATGTGTCTCCTCGGTGTGTCCTCAGTGTGTCCACAGTGTTACAAAATCTGTCCTCCTCTGTGTCCTCAGTCTCTCCTCAGTGTTTCCTCTGTGTATCCTCAGTCTCTCCTCAGTGTTTCCTCTGTGTGTTCTCAGTCTGTCCCCAGTGTTTTCTCTTTGTGTCCTCAGTGTTTCTTCAGTGTCTCCTCATCCTGTCCTCCGTGTTTCCTCTGCATGTCCCCAGTGTTTCCTCAGTGTCTTCAGTCTGTTTGTAGTATATCCTCAGTCTGTCCCCAGTGTTTTCTCTTTGTGTCCTCAGTGTTTCTTCAGTGTCTCCTCATCCTGTCCTCCGTGTTTCCTCTGCATGTCCCCAGTGTTTCCTCAGTGTCTTCAGTCTGTTTGTAGTATATCCTCAGTCTGTCCCCAGTGTTTTCTCTTTGTGTCCTCAGTGTTTCTTCAGTGTCTCCTCATCCTGTCCTCCGTGTTTCCTCTGCATGTCCCCAGTGTTTCCTCAGTGTCTTCAGTCTGTTTGTAGTATATCCTCAGTCTGTCCCCAGTGTTTTCTCTTTGTGTCCTCAGTGTTTCTTCAGTGTCTCCTCATCCTGTCCTCCGTGTTTCCTCTGCATGTCCCCAGTGTTTCCTCAGTGTCTTCAGTCTGTTTGTAGTATATCCTCAGTCTGTCCCCAGTGTTTCCTCTGTGTCCTCAGTCTTCCCCCAGTATTTCCTCTGTGTGTCCTCAGTGTTTTGTCCTGCAAATGTGGGCAGTATTGTAGAGGACAGCAGCTCTGTCTCTACACCTCCTTCTCCTCCTTACTATGAAAAGACGTCCGTCTTAAATTCTCCTTCACTCTGACAAACTCTGGAGCCTTCAGGTTTTCGCCCTGATCCTTCTCCTGTTGCTTCTCCAGCTGAAAGGCAAAGACAGACACAGATGTGAGAGAAAGCATGACACGGCTGGCTCGTAACATCAGTGACGCTGGTTCATGTCTCGTCTTGAAACCAAAGCCGCATGTGAATCAGGTCCAGTGTTTCCAGCTAGTAGCGTGCATCTGTTGGATCAGATGTAACTGTACTGTCATTGTTGGAGGACAGCTGCAGAGCCACCAATGTGCAGTGATCACTGAACCACTGTGGTGCAGGTCTGCCAACTACAGACGGGCTCTCTTGTGTCAGTTACTCTCTGTTTTGTCTCAGATTTCTCTGGTCCTCTGGATGACGTGGTGGCCCCAACTACTGCTGTTGTAAAGCACTGACATGTTCACAGCAAAACATTAACATCTGAAGCTATGCCCAACGCTGGCTGACGTCACTGCAACTCGTCGTGGCTCATCAGGACAAGCCCACTTCGTTCAGCTTTTAGCCCAGCTAGCAACAGCGGGTCTTAACTTAACTTAAACAACTTTCTCCAGGTGAAGAATCCACTGACTGGACTGTGTGTTTGCTGTTAATGTGACATTACGTACTTTATATCAGCTACTTTAAAAGATCTACATTCACTGGTGGGCTACCTCATCCAGTTTCTTGTGTCTCTTGAGCAGCTCGGCCTCCAGAGGAGAAATCTTCCTCCGAGCTTCGTCTTCCTGTTTCCTCTGTTGGATCAGCTGATCTCGTTTCCTCGTCTCCAGGACCCTCTGCAGCTCCGGCTTCACCTCCACACTGCCCCCGCTCCTGTCCAAATACATACAACATAAATACACACAGCAGCTCTTGTTGTTTGTGTTGTATGTCTCCAGGGTGTGTGTGTGTTTATAAAGTGTGTTTGAGTGAAACAAGAGTGACGTGTGTGCCTGTGTCCAGTCCAGCAGAGGGCAGTCTGTTCTAGCTACACAGTCAGTGAACAAATATGTCTCCAATGATGATTTCAGTAACACAACTCTGTCTTTACACATTATAAGATATAGACCCTCACAAAATAATGACCTGTCAGCTTGTACACCTGGAACTGCATTTCACATCTGAGCTATCATACAGAGATAAGCACTAAAAATGTTTCAGAAATTTCACATGTAAATCACATTTAGTACACACAAACCCACACAAAGACACGTGGTGTTTGTTCATTTAATATCTGACATCAGTGTGTTCTTTTTGTAGGGCTGAGAATTTGAATTATACATATACCTGTCTAACTTTATTAGTGCATCTGGAGTATTTCGCTTGTATTATTCTGGGTATTGCTACCTCTTCAGACTTTAATCAAGTTTCAGTGGATTTAAGCAGCAGCCTCAGTGTCGCTCCTGAATGATACAACTACAGAGAAAAGTCAGTCTCAGTGTTACAGCTCAGTGGGAGTGAATGGGCTGAAAACTTTCCCAGCATCCTCGGCAAAGCAGGCCTGTTGCTCAGCAGCGTCTGCTCATTTCTTCAGACTTACACAGACTCAGAGATGAGCAGCAACACCCGGTTTTCTTCATGTCATGGAAGAAAATGCTGCTCTGACTGGTCAGACGGGAGTGTCAAAAGAATTTTTAATGAAGCAACAAAGTCACTGGAATCTTTTTAAGTAATTTACTTTACTTGTAGTTAGACAGATAACATGACTTAGACGCTAATAATACTGGGACATATGCTTATCCTACAGTTGACGGTTGTGTCTCGCTTCATCTGGAACATTCTGTAGTCGAGTTTATCACAGCACAGAGAGTTTCACATGAAAGATAGAAAACATCCCTCAGGCCTACACAGCCAGTTTCTCACATGGCTCTGTTCTGAAAGTTTAAAACACATTAAATAACATAAATCATATTTAATAACAGAATTTTCATAACAGGGAGCCACCTGGACCATCTGCTCACAGAGTCCTGATGTGCAGTCAGAGCGGACGGCAGGTTCTCAGGGAAGACTTTCTGCTTTCTGCTCATTGTTATGGAGACATGCTTGGTTACAGCGTGTTTGTCCATAAACATGTCATCACTTTCCACTTCTGAAACACGACTTCAACTCCTAAGCGGTATCCCCAGTTTCAGAGCAAGAGGAAATGTTGTTGTTTTTTAAAATGTTTTCGTGTCCCAGAAAATATCCTCTGTGGCCACACCCATCCAGGCCTACAACCTAACCGACCAATGCAGGTGGTCTGTCTCTACCCGCAGCAGCATCTCTTAAAACAGCACTCCTGTGGTGAACTGTGCCAACATTACCACGGCATACATACCACCAGCAAGCGTACTGGACCTCTGTCATGGAAACTGTCGTAAACACACAGTTACGATGATAGAACAGTCACCATTTCATTTGGTTTACGCACACTAACAACTCAGATGTAGGAACAAAAGAGAAACATCCTGGTTTGGGCTAAAATCTCCTTCCTCACTACAGCTACAATAAACACGAGGTCATGGTTGTGGAACTGCCATAGACTTAAAAAAACTGCATTTCACACAGGTATGAAACACCGGCCTTCTGGGGGAAAGTCCTGTGTGTTCTGACCCACCCACCCAGGCCAGCCAGACATAGTGGCTCTATGGGTAAACCTCAATCCCTTACAGTAATTGCCTCCACATTTGCCTCACTTGTGTCTTAGTCCCGCCCACATAAGATGTGAGGAATCACATTTTAGGGACCCGAGACATCCTTGAACTTTCTAATACATTGTGTGTTTCATGCTTTTAATTTGTGTTATTGTGTGTAAATCACGTTGGTTGACTTTTAGTTGCATTTAAGTGCTATATAGATAAATAGTGATTGATTAATTGAGTTCCCTTGATCCTTCATCTGAAGCACCCAATTGCCAGCCAAGTTCCAATAAAGAGTGTGTCAGTTGGATGAGCTTGTGGCTCCTCCAGAAGCCTCCTCACTCCTCAGAGCAGTAAAAAGAGCCCGGGATGTCTTTCAAGATGGCAGACCAGAATGCCTTCCAGACTGAACGAGGGGTGAGGAACGGTTAAATGGAGAACTGGGATGTACCCTACTGTATGTGCTACATCAGCCGACTTCCTCCTGCTCATGTCATAATTACCATGATTAGTGGCAGTCGCCATATAACTTGTTACTGTTGGTCTAACAACCTGCTGCACAGACAACTCAAGGGGTCATTTTTTACAGGATGATCTCAAACAAACAAAACTTTAAAAAATGTACCTTCAGACTAAAAAATAAAAGCCTGTATTTTGCTAAAATACCCTACTTTCATTTTCAGCACATCGCCACACTTTACTATTAAGAAAGAAAGCTGACTTTCAGAAAAAATTCCTACTTCTCAAAAACTGTTCTCACTTTCAAACTTTTCTAATGGTATCAAACTGTCTCCCACCACATGTCCTCACATAGTCGCCTCTTACCGCCTGTAGCTGCTCAGCAGTTCTCGGTGAAGCTCTTGGTGACTTTTTGAAGCTTTCACAGGATTCACCAGTTTCTTGGGTTTGATGAGGTCCTCGTCCTCGTCTCCCATGTAGTCGGGCTGGGAGACATAGCTGGACACTGGGGATGGTTTCCTGTGGATGCTCTCAGACCAGTGCTGCTGCAAATCTGCATAAGCTGAGGCTGCAGACAAGAGGACAGAGACAACAACAGGTAATGATGAAATCTGAAATCACAGCATGATCTTTCCTCTAGCGCCACCAACAGGATAACGTCTCACTAACAACAGACAAATTACACAATAGTGGGAATGTAATGAAGAGTGCAGCCTGCAGGGAGCGCTAGCAGCATTTTAGACATGAATGAAGGTGATGTCAGAGGTCATGCTGTTTGTCAGGATGAAACTGGACATATATATTATACATAGACGTCCACCTCTCCGGGTTTTACAGTGAGTCCTGGTCCATGGTCCTTGTTGGTCTGGAAACAGAAAGACCAGATTAACATGTGACCTGAGCCCTCAGATATTCTGGGAGACACAGATCAGATGTCTACAGTACACTTCACACAATGACCTCTTTCTCCAATGCAACCAGAGACCAACATCCACTGCTGCTTCATATTTCAGAAAAATGAAATGAGGTCCAGATTCCAGACGGAGTCAGAAACACAAGGATGTGGCCAAAAGTATGTGGACAGCCTCCACTGCTCTTTCAGTCTGTTCAGCAGATGTTGAATGGGATTTTTTCCCATTCAGAGCCCAGGTCATCTCAGAGGTGCTGACAGGGTTCAGGTCAGGACAGCTAACCCTAACCCACTACACTCCTCTGCTGTGTCTCTACAGTCTGATGTCGCACTGATACTGACAACTGACCTGGTAAATGGTCTTTTACTCTTAAAGCGCTTTTCTATGCAATGCAGCTCACTCAAAGCACTTTCACACTACTTGGCCATTCATCCATTTGCACTCCCAAACGCTCACACATTCACACACCGGTGTTATCACCGGGAGCAACTCGGGGTTCGGTTTCTTGATCTGGACAAGCCAGGAATCAACCTGCTCTACCTCCTGAGCCACAAAAGGTAAGGTTGCAGAGCACTGCATCATCTGACACAATTAATTAGTTGATTAGTGAATTCACAGTCTACTATTCTGATCGTCCTCTGACGTCTTCTGTTTTATATCTTAACTTTAAAGGCCACAATGGGAAGGATTAGTTTCTGTGCAGCATGAAAAATCAAAAACACTCAGGACTCAGTGAAACGTAAAGTCACATAATAAATGACATTCATGTTGGATTGTAAACAGTGAGGTGTGCCACTGTCATGTACTCGGATCAGACATAAAGAGGCAGAGTTCAGAGTTCTTACGGTTGTTGGGGACATTTTAGGGTGGCTTCTCACCTGTTTAAATTATACTGAGACTAAAAGCTGCACATTAATTAAGGGTGTGGTCGCTTTGAGTGACAGGCGGGATGGTCCCTCCATAGGTAGTTGGCCGCTAGCTGTCTACAGGGCTCCACTCACGCTCCGCCTCTTTGCCCATTTGTAGATTTGACCTAGCAGGTGGAGTCAAGGGTTGCCAAGATGGCAATGGCCAGACTTGAACCTCACAACTGCTCTACTGAAAACCAGTAAGGCTCAGCTGATCAGTCACTACCTGAGACACGTGGACGCCGTTGGAGCTCCGAGCTCACCAGGACAGTTTGGTGACCATCAGGCCGTCAGCTGAGTCTGATGCAGCGAGCCTGGATGGACTTTGGGATACTGGGTGGTTTCCTATTGATTTGAGACAGGACGTGCAAACTAAAACCTGCCATAGTTTATCGATGTCTCAGTGAGTGCCCGTTATCTGGTTACAAACCAATTTCTGCTTCAGTCTGAAAACTCTGCAGAGGAAGACTGTCTGACTCCAGCTCAGCTCCAGTTACACAGATAATATTTTTTCTTTATTATTCGCCCATCCTGAGGAAATAAAAGACACTGACGTGATTAAATCAGATCAAATCTGCTGCTGCACGGTGCTCCGAGTATCTTAAATAAGAAACTTTGTAATGACTCGAGGGAAGGCTAAAGGCTCGTCCTCCTCCTCCTCGTGTGACCCCAGGATCTGAATCTTCTGTCATACCTAACAACCCACTAGACAAACTAATATAAGTGTTTTTTTACGTCTTTATATCAAAGTCCTTGTTATGATCTGGCCGTGTGAGCTCAGAAAAACAACAGTATCAACACCAGTAACTCCTCCTGCCTATTGACTGAAGCTAAATGAAAACCTACTGGTCAAGCCACGTTTTTTTTCTTCAGCTTCAAACAGAATAAACAGTACGTTTTGTTTCGCAGACTGTATGATTAATCACACGCTGAAGTGACAGCTGTTCAAACAGGCAGGTTGAAGTCTGAACTCTTACATAAATACTCAGGTCAAACTACAGGTCCAGCTGTGCAGCTATTGATCAGATCCCACACAATAATCCTGCTTGCAGTATTAAGAGGAAAGCTGTATTTATGTTTTGTAAGGGACAGAAGTCACACTGCTATTTTCTTCAAGGCACTGACTCATGCAGCTCAGACTCGTCCTTTTGGAAGACTCAGTGGGGAGACCTGATGCTATTTAGTCGTGGGACCAGTTGCTCAGGAGGCGTGGCCATCTGTTTTAATAATTTTCCTGGTAAACTTGTTTAACATGTTGCAGATACAGAAGGGCATTGGTTAGGTGTAGCGATGGACATTGATAATTCATTCTTTGTTATGGTCAGTATATGGATATAGTGCCGTAAAAGAAAACAAAGAACTTCTGTTGAAATGAACAGAGGTAATTGCAGACTTAAAATCTACATACCCCACTAAATATGTATTGGTTGGTGGAGATTTTAATCTGTCACCAGACAAGTGGTTTGACAGGTGGCCATCTAGGTATCCAAATTCATACTGCAACTCTCTTATTATAAATTTTACAAGTGATAACTAAGTAGTTGATATTTGTAGTTCAACTTTATTTGACCTAGTATGTTACACACACACTAAAAATAAATCATAAATCCCTTTGGCTCATAACTTGATTGTTTTGTTCTCCAAAGCTTCAGGGTTAACCTTAAATGTTAACAAATGTGAATTAGTGGCAATACATGGTCATCCCTCAGCATCATTATATGGTATCCCTGTTACAAAAGAAATTAAATATCTAGGACTCAATATTGGAAAAAGTGAGGAATTTAGGGAAAGGTGCAACTTTGGAAAAAGTATTGACAAAGGTCAATCACTACTGAGCAGCTGGCTGCAGAGGGACCAATCGTTGTACGTACAAAGACAAAGTTTATCCAGGCTTGCTTATCCAGCATACTCATTAGCTATTTAATCTAGAATGCTAAAGATGATAAACCAAGTTAACCTGAACTTTATTTGGAGAAATAAGTGCTGTTATATCAGGACAAATAACATGTTAAAATGCCATAAAAAAGGGGGGACAGAAAGTTACTGACTTTGATATCATGAATGGGATGATTAAAATAAAATGGTTGCAAGGCTTTATGAAGCACAGAGATTCAATTTGACATGAGATTCCAAATGTGTTTTTTAAAAAGTTGTGGGAATTAAATTTCTTTTAAGTTGTGATTTTGAACTCAGTAAGTTGCCCTTGTTTATCTGCCTTCTATCGACAAGTTCTCCAATACTGGAAACTGGTGTTCAAGCATAACCTTTCTCCACACAATATGCCAATCTGGAACAATTTCTGCATTTTATTTACATTTAACTTTTGGGTATGTGTAAATGACAGGCTGTGGTCCAAAATTGATTTCTTAGCACCTTTTGCTATAGAAGACAACAAGTTTGGTGTATCTCTGAATTCTTGGTCAATAATTTTATCATTTTGGCAAAATATTATATTCGTAAATGTAAATGGAGTAAAAGGCAACCTTGTTTAGCTGCATTTAGCTATGAAATATCCACACTGAAAATCCCTGGGTTGCATGAGTAGTAAAGGAGTCTTTTATCTGCAATCAGTCAGTATAATTTACTGTGATCCCCTGGTTATATACTTTTTTTATTTCTTAAATTTTTATTTCAATTGATTTATTTATGTTTGTTTTGTTCAAATATTATTCTGTGTATGTTTTGTTGCTCAGTCCTTTGTGGGTTCTGTAGACAGGTTTCACTGCCTTTTATGTCTGTAAATATGATGTTCAATTTAAAAAATCCGGCTCATTACCTCTGAGAACAATTTTCAGACTCTTTCCTTCTGTTACATTTTGAACTCTGAAACACCAGAGAATATCAGAACCAACCAGGTCTAAAACACCAAGTCTGCATGACTCCACAGCCCTTTAAGTCTTCTGATGATGCATCTTCTATCACTCCACAGTCTCAGTGGTACGTTGGTGTAAACTCCCACTCAGACCCAGTTTCTCTTCCAGCAGTCACACCATCTTCTCACCTCATCCACAAAATCCACTCATGCACTTGTTTAATGCACTGAGCAGAACAATTACTCATGAAATAAAAATTATAACAGCACAACAAAGTAAAAGTAGTGTTTGTTCATATAACACCCTGCATGTCACATATTATGTCCACATATTCACCAAAAACAGACTGAGTCCAACAGAAAACCTGCAGAAGCACTAAGCTACACCATTTTCAGGAACATGTTCAAAGCTACTTGTCTTAGGAAGCAGATAATAATGTGCAGTATGTGAACAGAGAACCATTACTTTCTAGTCTCTATGAGTTTCTGTTGCAGTGCTCTCTGATCAGCATACAGACTGTCAATGTACACATTCAGCTAAAACCTGCTGCTGCTGCCCAGATGAGCAGGGTCAGTCCAGAGACAAACAAAACC